ATACCATCATGCATTATTTTTTCACCTAATATGCCACATATGGACCTTAAACCGGGAATGATTCAACATTTTCCCACTTTTCATGGACTCAAAAATGAAAATCCATCCGTGCATATTAGGAAATTTGAGAAGGTGGTTGCAACCTTCCACAAACATGGTATAGCGGATGCATTCAAGCTTAGATTTTTTCTATTTTCACTTAAAAATAGAGCAAAAAAATGGATGTATTCGCTGAGACCATATTCTATTGGAACATGGGGTGAAATGACTCGAACTTTTTTTCTGCAAATATTTTCCCCATCATAAAACTAGTGCTATGAAGAAACAAATTTCTTCATTCACTCAAAAAGACAGCGAAACATTATACCAAGCATAGGAGAGATACAAAGAGCTCCAATCTCTTTGCCCCCATCATGGTTATGAGAGCTGACATATTGTGGGTTATTTTTATGAGGGATTAACACATAGGGAGCGTCAATTTATTGAGATAATGTGTAATGGTGAGTTCTTGCAAAGAGATCCGGACGAGGCTATAGAGTACTTAGATGACCTAGTTGAAAAATCTCACACCTGGATTGGCCCTAGCGCTACTAATAACACTAATAGGTCACGACCCATAGGAAATCTTTCTAGTGTAGATATTTATCATCTTAGAGAAGAAGATGGTTTTAAAGTTAAAGTAGAAGCCTTAACTAAAGAAATTAAAACCCTACGCACTAAGAACACAAAGCCTACACCTACTGTTGCCCGTGTTGAATCTTCTGGACCATGTTATGTGTGTAGTGGAATTGATCATCCGGCATATGAGTGTTTTGCTCTAGCTGAGATGAGGGGGTTTATGAGGAATATTGCAATGCCTTAGGCATGTATAACAAGACTTATGCTCATTTTTCTGAAACATATAATCAGGGGCGGCAGATCATCCTAAATTCAGCTGGAAACCTGAAAACTAGCAACATGTCCAAACGAATAGAGCTTATACCACACCATCCTATCAACCCACAACTTGTAGGAACTCCTTAAAAGACACTCTACATGCATTTATTGAGACACAAAGTAAAACAAACCAAAAATTTGAGACTATGATTACCCAAATTGTGGAGAAAAATAAGGAAATCAAAAATCACATCTCCAAACTAACTAATGTCTTAGCTGTAGTGGAACGTAAGAAATTTTCAGCTCAAACTCGACCAAATCCTAAAGGGCAACAATGACACAAATTTCGGGTTTAAATGAAAACAATCTTAGGGAAGTAAGTGTCATAACCACTAGATCAGGAAAAGTCATATAACCAACTCCCAAACTTAGGAAAACTGAAAAAGAGTCCAGTGAGCTTAAAGTGAGTAGTCATAGTGAGGAAGTAGTGAAAAATTCAGTGAGAGTACCTTTCCCACAAGCTCTTAAGTCTACCTCAAAATTTGCTGGTCAACATAGTGAGATCTTAGAACATCTAAAGCAAGTAAAAATCAATTTGCATATCTTGCATGTAATTTCACAGGTCCCTACTTATGCTAAAGTTTTGAGGACTTATACACTGTCAAAAGGAAGCACAATGTCAAGAAAACTATTTTCTTGATTGAGCAAACGAGCACTGTGATTGATGCACTCACTCAGGAGGTAGCTGATAATATATTCTTTGGACCAGCACATGAAATTTTAGAACTAGATGGATTGGACGTATCCATCAATAAACATCTTGAGATGGAGGATCAAGAGTCAGGTTATAGTTCTTATTTTACATTACCAGTTTCTAACTAGAGGACTGTACCTTTTGTCATGCAGGTCTCTAATCCTGATTTTAAGCTTTCCTCTAGTCATCTCACGCATGT